TGTTTGGTGATACAGAAAAGAATAATATAAGATTGATGAGAGTCAATGAAAAAGTTGGAGACAACACAAACAACATAAAAATAACCTGTTCACAAAAGAAATCGCAGAAAAGTTCCCAAGCAGGGAAAAAGAATTTGACTCATAGATAATTGAAGCATGTAAAACTCCAATTAAGGGCCAGCCCGATAGCTTAGGGGACTAAAGCACCTGCTGAGGCAGGCCCAGGGACCTTAGTGGAGATCTATAGAGTATTTCATCCCACAATACCAGAATACATATTCTTCTCAGCTGCACATGGGAGGTTCTCAAAAACAGACAATATACTAGCTCATAGAATGGTTAAGTAAATGCACAGGAATTGAAACTACCCCAGAGTATTATCAGAACATAATGCAATCAAGTTGGAAGTCAATGGCAAAGAAATGACAAAATCTTCACAAACACATGGAACTTAAATAACACCCTCCTGAACAACCAATAGGTCATAGATGAAATTAGCAAAGAAATTAGACAGTTTCTACCATGAAATGTAGACAATGCAGGGCACAATAAAGCAGTCTTATAAGGGACATTTATAGCAGTGACTTGTCATATCAGAAAAATAGATCAAGCTCAGACAACTGAATGTTGAACCTCAAGCTTCTAGAAAATGAAGAGCAAGTCAAGCCCAAAGCCTATACAAGGGAAGAAATTATGAAGATAAGAGCAGAAATTAATGCAATGAAGACTAAGAAAATAACACAGGGGCTGGGGAGATGGCTCAATGGAATAAGTGCTTGCCTGGCAAGCACAGGGATCTGAGTTCAATCCCTGGTCCTGCCAAAAATAAAAGTAAAAAAAAATTAAAATTAAAACAACACAAAGAATCAATGAATTGAAGAGTTGATTCTGTGAAAGATTAGATAAAATTGACAGACACTTAGCCAACCTCATAAAAAAAAAAGACTCAAATCCATGCAATCAAGAATCACAACAGATCCTGCAGAAATACAGAAGAGCATCAATATCCACTCTGAGAACCTCTACTCTAATAAGATTGAACACACAAAAGAAGTGAACACATTCCTAGGTATATATGAATTACCAAAGCTGGATCAGAATATAGAAAAATTTTAAATCACCCAATAAGAGTCAATGAGATTGAATATATAATTAAAAACATACCAACATGGGGGAAACTACCCACTTGGGCCCCCCTCCTGTCCCTCTCTCGGA